AGGGCGGCTGGCCCTGGCAGAGCTGCCAAGCGGTACAGGGGATGTGCCGGAGCATGGTAAACCTGGCACCTCTTGGTGCAGCGCTCCAGCTACTGAGAAAATAATACCCTGAGTGTGCAGAGAGATCAGGACGTTTCCCAACCTCCCAGGGGGGTTCGGCACATTTCCCCTTAAAATAAATGTGCCAAGTGCTGCTTATGTGAAATCAGCTCATTCGGGGGGGGGCTGGTTCTTCTTCCTTTGCTTATTTATAGCACATCTGTGGAACAACAATCAGCAGTTCAAAATCTGGCTGAGTTGGGGGGCGGAATGTGAACCTAGTGACTAAAATAGAAAGCTGGTTAAAACTCTGGGCAGAGCCACAGGGAGGTCCCTGCCTGCCCACGATGGGCTGCTGGCGCTGCCAGACCTTCCTGCGCCAGCGACCGCCGTGTCAGGAGGTGGGAGGCACTTGTAGCCCTGCTGGGACCGGAGCCCCGCAGAGGGGCTGGGCTGGCCGGCCGCGGCGCAGCCCGCTCCAGCCTGCCCGCTTTGGCGATGCGGGATGGGGTGGGAAACGAGGAATAGACTCTGGAGGGCATGGAAATGCCTTCAGTGGAAAACCATGGTAGAGGTCATTGCAGGCTGTGCAAGAGCAAATTCCCAAGGCAGCTGCTGGGAGCAGCGCATCACGCTCTTTGCAAGGTTTCTTGCAGAGCACTCTTTGCTCCCCCTTTGGTCACCCTTGTAGGGGCACCTCCGGCTGCGCCCCTCGCAGACCTGGTGCTCGTGCCATGGGGTTTGGAGGCAGCAATCCTGCTTGCCTTGCACGGATGCCGTGCAGGCTGTGCAAGAGCAAATTCCCAAGGCAGCTGCTGGGAGCAGCGCATCACGCTCTTTGCAAGGTTTCTTGCAGAGCACTCTTTGCTCCCCCTTTGGTCACCCTTGTAGGGGCACCTCCGGCTGCGCCCCTCGCAGACCTGGTGCTCGTGCCATGGGGTTTGGAGGCAGCAATCCTGCTTGCCTTGCACGGATGCCGGTGATGGGATGCTCTGTGCTATCCCATGTACCCGTTGTTTCTCCTGCCACCCACACCACCCAGCTGGGCTGCTCTGGGCGTCCTCTGGGGACTTGGGGGATAGATACAACTATGCAATGGGGTTTGGTGTGAACTGGGAGCTGTGGGGGCTTCGCAGCAGACCTCAGTCACTGCAAAGGGGCATTTGTGCATGTAACATCCCTGGCAGTGGGAGGGAGGGTCCGCAGTCAGTGCTGCGTTTCGGCCCCCTGGGAGTCTCCCCATATTCCTTGGGCCTCGGAGCAGAGCGTGGTGCGTTTCCAGCTGCAGCCGGGCTGGGAGCCATTAGTGGCACAGAAGCAGGCATGGCCGTGCTGCGGTGGTAGCAGTGCTCGGGGCACAAGCATGTTTCTGAAAATCCTGAGCAGCTTTCTGCTCCCTGAAATGCAAACCCCAGGGGCTTTTGTCCAGCACAGCAGGGTCTCAGTGCAGCCCCTGTGGCTGCAAATCTGCTTGTCGCAGCATCCGAATCTATGTGGACCCTCAGCTGCTGGGGGGAGCGTTTTAATTGCAAAAGATGTTCTGTTCACCCCAAATTGCTTGCCCCATATAACTCAGCTGAAAACAGTTTTCCTCTGCGGCATTGCAGTGGGTGTTCAGTGTCCCTGAAGAGATCCCGGTGTGCTTCGGGGAGCTGGTAGCGAGGAAAGTGAATCCCCACGTTCCCTGCGTGTGTCAGCAGGGCGAACGATTTTATTGCTTTCCTGGGAAGAAGCCGCAGAGGGGGAACAGTTTGGTCTCCAGTGCCCGCTGCTGCAGGCTACCGGGCTCTCTGCAGATCTGACCCCCCAGGGAAGCCTGAGCCAGCAGCGGCACACGTTTGCTCGCGCAGCTGCGGGCTCGCTGACAGCTTTGCGTCCCGCCGCAGGCCTAGCATGTCCGGGCTGCAGCTGGCGAAGAGGGGCCGCGAGAACAGGAAGATGGATCTGCAACGGGACTTCACCGTCGCCTCGCCAGCAGAGTTCGTCACCCGCTTTGGGGGCAACCGCATCATCGAGAAGGTCTTTCCCCGCGTACCATTGCCTTGGTTCGGGTGGAGGGTCACCGCTTTTCATGGCAGCATCCTTGAGCATTGCCCAAGTCTCCCGCCCCCGCCAGGCTTGGACTGATGGCAGCCTGGGACGAGCTGCTCGTCCCCTGGCTTTACCCGTCCTCGTGGGCTGGGAGAGGGAGACTCTCCCAACGCTTGCAGGGGCTGCTTGCATGTGGCTTTGCATGGCAGGCACAAACAAAGGCCAAAGTCCTGTCCTTCGTTAGCCCAGTGCCAGGCATCAAAGCTGCTAAGGATGTACACATATGTACAACATTGTATGTACAGCATGTACAACTGGCTGCTGCAAAGCGGCCGTGTTAGCACGGCTGCCCTGCTCTGCTCACCGCCTGCGCCCAGCCCTCGCCTCCACGCTGCTGTCCCTCGGGGCCGTGCGCCCAGCCTCACGCCCCAGCAGCAAGGAGAGGTTTCAGCCTGATGCCCCATGTTCCCCCAGGTCCTCATTGCCAACAATGGCATCGCCGCTGTGAAGTGCATGCGCTCCATCCGCCGGTGGGCCTACGAGATGTTCCGAAATGAGCGTGCCATTCGGTTTGTGGTCATGGTCACCCCTGAAGACCTCAAGGCTAATGCAGGTAATTCCTAAATGCATCCCAATGAGGGAAGTTCCCCACCCTGAGGCTGAACCGGGGCAGCCCTTTCCTTCTCCCCACACTGCTGCCTGGGACGTGGGGGCCTCTGCACAGCTCGGGGTCACACACTTCCCTCCTGTGCAGCCAGATGCAGGAGTAAATAATTTCCTGCCCTTCCAGCCTCCCCAGGATGGAGGATTTGGGGAGGAGGTGCAAGGGGCAGCATGCGAGTGGGGTGCGGCTTGGGGGAACCAGCTCCCACCACCACCATGCCCTGTCTTGCAGAGTACATCAAAATGGCAGATCACTATGTGCCTGTCCCCGGGGGGGCCAACAACAACAACTACGCCAACGTGGAGCTGATCGTGGACATTTCCAAACGGATCCCAGTCCAGGTAGCAGCCGCTTGCAGGCTTCCCACCTCTTTGCCGAGGGAAGCGGATGGGGAAGAAGGGGCACTCAGAAATGGGGTGACGTCCCTCCATGCGGAGGAGCTGGGCACGATGCTGTGGGCGATGGGAGGACAGCAGCGTGGGGAGGTAATGGCTCACACTGCTCCTTCTTGTGCGCCAGGCGGTGTGGGCTGGCTGGGGACATGCCTCAGAAAACCCCAAGTTGCCAGAGCTGCTGCAGAAAAATGGGATAGCTTTCCTAGGTAAGACCTTACTGCCTTCCCTGTGCTGGAGGGAGCTGTGGGCATCAGGCTAGCATGTGCATGCATGCTCGCTCCCCAGGGACGGGGGAGGTTTGGACTGGATGTTAGGAAAAATCTCTTTACTGAAAGAATGGTCAAGCATTGGCACAGGCTGCCCAGGGAGGTGGTGGAATCACCATCACTGGAAGTGTTCAAAAAATATGTAGCTGTGGCACTTTGGGACACAGTTTAGTGGGCATGGTGGCATTGGGTTGATGGTTGGACTTGATGATCTTAAAGGTCTTTTCCAACCTTAATGATTCCGTGATTCTATTCTGTGATTCTATGACACTGTGCTGGGCAATGCCTGTTTCGTGTGTCGGGCATGCCTACCCTGCAGCGTTGCAGTCCCCAGGCTGGTTTCCCGGAGCTGTCCCAGGAATCCTGCTGTTTTCTGGGTTTTCCCTGTAATGCTGATGCAGCATTCACAGAGGAACATCGGGTGGGAGCAGACCTCGTGGGCTGCTCAGCCAGGGGACAGCCCAGGGCTTCCCCTTGGGGAAGGATCAAGCTCTGTCCTGAACTGGGCAGTGGGTTTGGGGCATTTCCCATGCCCTGACTTTTTGCAGAAGGGCTGATGGTACTGGCTCAGTGGGGAGCAGCTTTCCGCAGCATCCATGTGACAGGGACGGGACGGCTGGCCGGGCTGGCCCGGTCACCCTAGCTCACCCCAGCTCACCCCAGCTCACTCCTTCCCTCCCTGTTCGAAGGTCCTCCCAGTGATGCCATGTGGGCACTGGGGGACAAGGTTGCCTCCACCATCGTGGCTCAGACGGTCCAGATCCCCACGCTGCCATGGAGCGGGAGCGGTAAGCACCTCCTCCCCAGCCCCACACATCCTCCCCACTCCCCCATTTCTCTTGTCCCTGCCCCTCCTTCTCCCCCAAAGCAAGCATGGGGTTGGGGTCCCCAGCCTGGCTGGCCATAGAGTGGCTGCAGATGTCGGGGACCCCGTGGCAGCTGGTTCAGACAGGGAGTTTTGGAGATGGGGTGCACGGGCACAGGGGAAATGGCATGTGCTGCTGTGGGGTGCCCAGCTTGCCTGGGCACAGCCATCATGCCGCTCTGGCGGTGACCATAGCTCTGGCCGTGCCCACAGGTCTGGTGGCCCAGTGGTCTGAGGAGGACCAGAAGCATCAGCAGACAATCAGCATCCCTCTTGAGACGTATGCGCAGGGCTGCGTGAAGGACGTGGAGGAAGGTCTGGAGGTAAAGCTGAGCCCACAGGCAGCTGGTTGTCTCTTGGCCACCATTATTTCTCTTTGGAGCCCTTTTGGGCTCCCAGCACATGTGACAGCAGTTCATCCCTCTGAATGGACATGGCTCAGGGCAGTCCTGCTCAGGACTGCATGGGGCTGGGGCAGGGTGGGCAGTCGGGATGGTGGGTTGGAGTCCAGAGCGCTTCAGTCACCCCAGTCCTTGTCCTCTCCTCAGGTAGCCAAGAGGATCGGTCGGCTACCCGCTGATGATCAAGGCAGCAGAAGGCGGTGGGGGAAAAGGCATCCGACAGGTGGAGGCAGCGGAGGAATTTGGCACCTGCTTCCGGCAGGTGAGAGGTGCCCGGAACCTCCATCCCCATCCCTGTCCCATCCTGGGGCATGCAGCAGGGTCCTGCTCCCACCCTGGGCACTTTGTGCTGCCCACCTGGGCTCACCACAGGACCTGCCTCCATCCTGGGATGAAATCTGGGGGGTGATGCTGGAGCATGACCGTCTCCCCTGCTGCAGGTGCAGGCGGAGGCGCCTGGGTCCCCCATCTTCCTGATGAAGCTGGCGCAGCACGCGCGGCACCTGGAGGTGCAGGTGCTGGCCGATGAATATGGCAACGCCATCTCCCTCTTCGGCCGTGACTGCTCCATTCAGCGTCGGCACCAGAAGATCATTGAGGAGGCACCCACCACAATTGCGGCGCCTGCCGTCATCGAGGTGATGGAGCAGGTGGGTGGCCCCAGTCTTTGGGCAGCATGGGGTTTTAGTGAGAAACCAGTCTGTTCTTTGCTGGGTTTATTGCGGTTTTTGGCACCTGAGGCTCCTAAGGAAGGGAGGGACCCCCGGAGCCGAGTGGGGAGCCCCAGCCCTGCTTCTCTCCTTGGATCCATGCAAGGACACTGCTGCTGTTTTGCTTGGGACACCCTGACTCCGCTGTGGTGAACAGAGGGTCATTACTCCCCGTGGCGGTTTCGCCCTCTGCTGCAGTGCGCGGTCCGCCTGGCCCAGATGGTGGGCTACGTGAGCACGGGCACCGTTGAGTACCTCTACAGCGAGGACGGGAGCTTCCACTTCCTCGAGCTGAACCCACGCCTGCAGGTGGAGCACCCTTGCACAGAGATGATCGCGGACGTGAACCTCCCTGCTGCCCAGCTGCAGGTACCTGACCGCACATGGGCGACCTTGAGAGCCGTGTTAGATGAAACAATTTTGCAATTTAGGGAGAAGGGCTAGGCTGGAGCCTGGCAGAGGGAAGCTCTCCCATACACCAGTGTGTAGGGTGCAGGCAGAAGCAAGGTAGCATCCCTGCTTCACCTGCAGGTTGGCAGGAGCAGCTGCCTGCAGCATGGTGCCTCTTCCCCTTGCTTTTAATTCATACCATTTGTCGATGTCTCCCAGTTGTAATTTTAATGCTGAAGTCTTGTTCCAGCAGCTAAAGTCCTCCTTGTTACTCGTGCAGATTGCAATGGGCATCCCCTTGCACAGGATAAAAGACATCCGGGTGCTGTACGGGGAGAGCCCCTGGGGCGATACGCTCATCTGCTTCCACAGCCCCACCAACACCCCCGTGCCCAGGGGCCATGTCATCGCTGCCCGGATCACCAGCGAGAACCCTGAGGAGGTGAGCTGAGGGGGACGGGCTCGTGCAGTGGCCCCACGCCTGGGGACGGGGGTGACCCCGCCGCTCATGGGATTGAACTGGGCACAATCCTCCCCAGCCAGACAGTGCTTGTGGGCATTCAACCTGTGGGATCGGTGAGATCCACGTGCAGACCGATGGCACAGGGGTTCCCCTTCCGTTTGTGCTGCATGAGTCTCAAACTTGGTTTCGCCATGTCTTCTGCTCTGTCTTCGCTCAGGGTTTTAAGCCCAGCTCGGGGACGGTGCAGGAGCTGAACTTCCGCAGCAGCAAGAATGTCTGGGGGTACTTCAGCGTGGCGGCAGCCGGGGGGCTGCATGAGTTTGCTGATTCCCAGTTTGGACACTGCTTCTCATGGGGAGAGAACCGGGAGGAGGCCATCTCGTGAGTGTGGTGGGACAGGGTGGAGAGCGGGTGTTCTTGGAAAGACTCACAGTGGGTGCATGAGCTGGGAAAACTGGCTTTTATCTCAGAGGACCAGAATGGTGCCGCTGTGCTGAGCGGCTTGCGCGTGCTGCAGAGACTGTCTGGCCACAGCCAAAGTTTTCAGGCTGCGGTGGTGCTACAGCCCCAGTTCATCAACCTGATCCTTAAAGACATGTTGTAGTGATCCGCTAAGCATGTGCTTAGTGCAAGTGAGCAGCAATGTTCATTCAGTAATTGAGCAATATGTAACGAGTCTGTCTTCGGTATTTAAGTGTTTTATTAAGTCAGTGCTGACTGTGGGGCTGTTTCATCCAGGCATGAGGGCACCCAGGGCTCGGGAGCTCATCGCTCCAGTCCCTGTGGTTCCCCAGTTTCCTCTGCTGAAAGCCAAGTGCCGCCTCGTCAGTCGTTAATGGTGGGTTTTGCTCCCTGAAAGGAACATGGTGGTTGCCCTGAAAGAGCTGTCCATCCGCGGGGATTTCCGGACCACGGTGGAGTATCTGATTAAGCTGCTGGAGACGGAGAGCTTCCAGAACAATGAGATAGACACCAGCTGGCTGGACCACCTGATCGCCGAGAAAGTGCAGGTGGGGGAGACCGGCCCCCCAGGGATCACTGCTCCCCTTCTAGTGTGAGACCCAAACCCTGTTGGTTTTGCCCCCCACAGGCAGAGAAGCCGGACACGATGCTGGGTGTTGTCTGCGGTGCCCTGAACGTCGCGGATGCCGCCTTCAGGACGTGCATGACCGACTTCTTGCACTCGCTGGAGAGGTGCGGAGCAGGGGCTGCCCGACGGGGGCTCGGCCGTGTGACGGGCACAGGAGTCAGGGGGATCGCATGTCCTAACGGGCCGCTCCTGGCAGCCTGTGCGGCTCCTGCAAGCATGGAGACCTGAGCTTTTCTCTCTCAGGGCCACCTTCCTTCCCTCTTTTGCTGCAAAAGCTTTGCAAATCTGGAGGCAGAGCCCATGGCACTGCAACAGACGGGAAATGAGGGTGTCTGCTGTGACTCACAGCTCTGGCTTCTTGGCTATTGCTTTGTCTGGAGAGCGGAAAAAGTTTCACATGGTTGGGAAAACAGGTTTCAAGGAAAAGCAGCTTCGCTGAATGCAGCCTGCTTTTGTTTTTGCACTTGAATGTCAAGGTTATTCCTCCAGCCTTGGAGGACGCCCAGGTCTCTCCCCTGCACCCTTATCTGAGCGTGTTTCGCCAGTGTCTGGCCTGCCTCCAGATGCATTTTTACAAGGCGCTCACGTGGGTCATTTAAAGCAGATGTCTGTCCCCTCCGGTCACCTTCGTGCCATCCCCCAGGCGGCTCGGAGCCCGCAGGGCCCAACGCCAGCAGCACCGCTGACATCTCGCACACTTGGCTACCTGCCGACGCGCAAGGCAAGAAACGCTTGTGGTGCTTGACCCGTCCGTTGTGTTTCAGGGGGCAGGTGCTGCCAGCAGCCTCCTTGCTGAACATTGTCGACGTGGAGCTCATCTATGAGGGTGTGAAGTACGTTCTCCAGGTGAGGGCTGGGCTGTGCTCCTCCCAAACCAGGACTTCTCACGGGGAGTGGAACGTGTGCTCCTGTCCTGAAGGAGAAAGATGTAATAAACACAAGGTTGTCCTTTAAAAATGTGCAACATAAAAATGAGGTTAATAACCTCATTTTAACTAGATGGACATTTTCGTGCATCCTGTTGCCTTGAGTTTAATAAAGGACCTCCTTTTCTTGCTTTTAAACCCAATTAGTTGAACTTCATGCAAAAACTCCCTACTCACAATGAAAGCAGCAGGTGAGCCATGAGTTAAACCAGCTCTGGGCTGCGTTTGAACCACTCTTTGGTGCAGCCTGAGGTCGCTGCCTCCCGCCCTTCCCGGCACAGCCCCGTCCCGTGGCAGCATGCTGCTCCTGCACCGGCCCTTGCACCAAGCGTGGGGAGATGCTCATCACCCCCCACCATTACCACCAGCCCCCAGAAAGGCCGTTGCACGCGTTTTGGGGGGTTGCACTGAGGGCTCCCCCCGGCCGCTGCCCGCAGGTTGCCCGCCAGTCCCTGACGACGTACGTCATCATCATGAACCGCACTCACATAGAGATAGACGTGCACCGGCTGAACGACGGCGGGCTGCTGCTCTCCTATGACGGCAACAGCTACACCACCTACATGAAGGAGGAGATCGACAGGTACCTCCCCACTGGGCCCCCACCAGCCTTGCCCGCTGACCGGCAGCGGGTTCGTGAGACCTTTCCCTCTCCTTCAGATACCGGATCACCATTGGCAACAAAACCTGCGACTTCGAGAAGGAGAAGGACCCGACGGTGCTACGCTCGCCCTCCGCGGGGAAGCTGCTCCAGTACACGGTGGATGATGGTGGCCACGTAGCGGAGGGGAACGTTTTTGCAGAGATTGAGGTGGGTTTTGCAGAAGAATCCAGAGGAGATCTCTTCCTGCAGTGCTGGTGGATGGCAAAGATGAAACCCAGCAACACTGCTGCGACGTTCGAGGCGCTCTGCGGTGTGCGGGCGCTGCTCGCTCAGTGACCGTTTCACCCATCCTCGCCCAGGTGATGAAGATCATCATGACGCTGGCAGTGGAGGAGGCCGGGCGGGTGCACTACGTCAAGCGGCCGGGCGCGCTGCTGGAGGCAGGCTGCGTCATAGCCCGGCTCGAGCTGGATGATCCCACCAAAGTGAAGGCCGTGAGTCTGCCAGGGCCGGCCGCGCTGCCTGTCCCCTCCTGTCTGCTCCCAAGCGGCATCCCGCGGGGCATCGGGGACGCTCGCTGGGGGACAGAATGGAGGAGCTGCCCTGACTGGGGCATCAGCAGGGATGTGTCCCCGTGCTGGCACAGCGTGGCACTCGCATGGCCGTGCCACATCACGCTGCCAGCTGCTGCTCCACGTGCCATGGCGTTGCTCTGCATAAGCGTCCCATGCACGCTTACTTAGCGTGCAGAAGCTCACGTGCAAGTTTTTAGGGTATCTATAGCACTCTGTGTAAATCCCCAGTTTTTCTGCATTTTTTTCATGATGGGGCACTGGCAGAGACACGAAGCTGAATGGTAGGAGCTTCCTCTGTATCTAACTGAAAGCAGATGCTGGAGGGGTTGTGCTGGTTTCTCTGGGGCAGCTGCAGCTCTCGTGGGGCACCGTCCCATGTGGGCAAGGACCCAGGCCAGCCCACCTCCTCTCTCTTCAGGCGCAGCCATTCACAGGGGGGCTCCCAGCCCAGCAGACCCTCCCCATCACTGGTGAGAAGCAGCACCAGGTTCTCCGCAACGTCCTGGACAATCTCACCAATGTCATGAACGGGTACTGCCTGCCTGAGCCATACTTCAGCACCAAGGTGGGTGTTGGGGGCAAAGGTGGTCCAGGGATCCTGCCCTGTTGCCTTGTGTTTGCCATCGTGGCAAGACAGGCAGCACCGGTGGGTGCAGGCAGTGCTGGTGGGTGCAGGCAGCACCAGCTTCTGCTCCCCACAGGTGAAGGAGTGGGTGGCGCAGCTGATGAAGACCCTGCGGGACCCCTCCCTGCCCCTCCTGGAGCTGCAGGAGATCATGACGAGCATTTCGGGAAGAATCCCTCTGTCCGTGGAGAAGTCGATCCGGAAGGTGATGGCGCAGTACGCCAGCAACATCACCTCCGTGCTCTGCCGCTTCCCCAGCCAGCAGGTGAGCGGCGCGGGGGCTGCGCTCCCCAGCTTGGCCTTCGCTTCCTTTTTCCTGGAGCTCCTTAGGAGTTTCTGCCTGAATTTATCCTGCCACTAGATATTACAAAAAATGAAATGAGTGAGAGAAACATTTGTGGTTTTATGCTTGTGTTTTTATATTTGTGTTTTTATATTCGTGTTTCTACATTTATTTGTCACTTTGCATTTTTCACTTGGGAGGGGGGAAAAAGCAAACGAGGCTGGCCCCGACCTGCACCAGACCCTGTGACTTCTCCCCGCAGATCGCCAACGTGCTGGACACCCATGCGGCCACACTGCAGAGGAAGGCTGAGCGGGAGGTCTTCTTCATGAACACGCAGACCGTGGTGCAGCTGGTGCAGAGGTGAGCCCCGTACTGACCGTGCCCCCCACCAGCTCCCCCACCACCGCCATCTCCTCGCAGCAGGCTGGGCTCTCTGCTCCCCAGGTACCGCAGCGGCATCCGGGGCTACATGAAGGCAGTGGTGCTGGACCTGCTGAGACGCTACCTGCAAGTGGAGACCCAGTTCCAGCATGGTGAGGGCTCAGGGGCTCTCTGGAGGGGTCTGTGGGGCTCTCTGGGGGCTCTGTGGGGCTCACCGTGCTCTGCCCCGCAGCTCACTACGACAAGTGCGTCATCAGCCTGCGGGAGCAGTGCAAACCCGACATGACCCCCGTGCTGGAGAGCATCTTCTCTCATGCTCAGGTGGCAAAGAAGAACCTGCTGGTGACCATGTTAATCGTGAGTACAGCCCATGTGCCCCAAGACACCAGAAGTAAAGGCTGGCAGCAGGGAAAAGCCCGAAGTCGAGGCGAGCTCTGCATCGCTGTGAGACGGGACGTGGCTGTGGGTTTCTGTCACAGCACTGTGCTTTTCCCTTGAAAGTGAGCAGACACCTGAGAAACCACTTTTCTGCTCCTCTGTTTAATGTATCCCCAGAGTTTGGATTTTGCATTCAGGTGTCCATTCCTGCCTCGTTAGGACGGGCTTTACCTCCCCTCTGTAGCATTGCATTGCTGCCCTTCGTTCAAAGAGCAGCGTTTTGCCCATTTTAGCACCTCGGGTCTCGTCCCCGTTGCCCGTGCAGGGCTGGGGTGCGGGATGAAGCCATCCCGCAGCGAGGGGCCTGAGCTGAGCCATGGTGGTGCGTGCCCTGCAGGACCAGCTGTGCGGCCGTGACCCCACGCTGACGGATGAGCTGATGGCCATCCTCCACGAGCTGACGCAGCTCAGCAAGACCGAACACTCCAAAGTGGCGCTGAGAGCACGGCAGGTCAGCGAGCGCCGTGCCGTGCCGTCCCCATCCCTGTCCCTGTCCCCGTCGCCCGCGCTCCCAGCTGCCTCTCCCCTCGCAGGTGCTCATCGCCTCTCACCTGCCCTCCTACGAGCTGCGACACAACCAGGTGGAGTCCATCTTCCTCTCTGCTATCGACATGTACGGGCACGAGTACTGCCCTGAAAACCTGAAGGTTGGGAATCACGCGATTTTCCGCAGAGGGAATTTGGCTTTCGGGTGGCTTTGGTGAGGAGGTCTGGCTGCAAGTGGCTTAGCCTTAAAAATAGCCAAAAAAGCAAGCAAAGCCTTGCTGCGGTGTCGGTGCCTGCGTGGAGCAGAGGAGGGATGCACCCCATTGCTGCCAGTCCCCATCCCCTGCTCCTCACCCAATTTGGCAGGGGACTGGCATATGGATCCACGTCTGGGTCTGACGGCATCCCCATGGTGGGCTGGGTGTCCCCTGGCACCCTGATGGCCAGTCCTGCACAGCCCCACACTGAGAGATCCCTCTGGAACGTGCCTCCCCCATCCTGTGATGGGGCGAGAGGATCCCACTTCATCCTGCCCTAAAGTTTCCTTTCTCCTCCCCCCAGAAACTGATCCTCTCGGAAACCACCATCTTTGACGTGCTTCCCACCTTCTTCTACCACACCAACCAGGTGGTGCGCATGGCGGCACTGGAGGTGAGGGCTGGGGTGCTGCGAGGGGCACGCGAACCCTGGGGGGTGGCCTGGATGTGTGTGGTGGGAGCAGGGGCACGGCGGTACCTCCTGCCGTCCCCGTCCCAGGTGTACGTGCGGCGCGGGTACATCGCCTACGAGCTGAACAGCCTGCAGCACCGGCAGCTCTTGGACGGCACCTGCCTGGTGGAGTTCCAGTTCATGCTGCCATCCTCCCACCCAAATAGGTATGGGGGCCCCCACATGCCTGGCCCGCTCCCCTGGCCACGGTCCTTTTTGCAAAGCTGTTGGTTTTGTATTGTCTCCCCCCTGCAAAATGTGGGGACCCTCAGAGGGAGCTGCCCACCACGCTCTGCCTTTGCCAGTGGAGCAGGATGCGCACTCTCCGGGTCAGGGTCCCACGTGGGACCTGCGTGGTCCCTGTTGGACCCAGGAGCAGCGCCTCTGCCCACGGCTGATGGCTGCCTTGCTCCCCCGTGCAGGATGTCTGTCCCCGTCAGCATCTCCAACCCCGACCTGGCCCGGCACAGCACTGAGCTCTTCATGGACAGTGGCTTTTCTCCCCTGAGCCAGCGGATGGGAGCTATGGTGGCCTTCGACAGATTCGAGGACTTCACGAGGTGGGGGTGCAGGGACGTGCCTGGCCGGTTGTACACATGCCTTTTGGATGCCGCTGCAGTTGTTAGAGAGCAAAAGAGGGTGGAAAAACCAAAGCTGGTGGCAGCTGGGCAGTGCTGGGAGCAGATCCAGTTCCTCCCACAGGCAGAGGTTGGGACTGAGTGGTATTTTCAGTACAACAGTTACCTGGTGGGGACATGATATGTCATTTGGGGACATACAGAGCCTGGGGGGAGCTTGCCTGGCATGGGTTAAGCATGTTAACACAGCAGTGCTTGGAGCTGCTGGTGGAGCCCGGCTGAGCCAGCATGTGCCCCCGGAGCGCTGCAGTGGTACCTGCGTCCTTGCCACAGTGGGTTCCTGGTGCTGTCCCCTTGGGCAGGGGGTGGGCATGACGTGCTGACTTGTCACTTCATCCTCGCCATTTGGGCAGGAACTTTGATGAAGTGATCTCATGCTTCGCCGACCCGCCTTCGGAGAGCATGCTCTTCAGCGAGGCACGAGCCACCATCTACGAGGAGGACGATGCCAAGGTGGGCACGATGCCGTTGCTGTCCCCCCGGGTGGTGCCGGGGTAGCAGTGGTGCTGCTGGTCAGGGTTGACTGGCAAGTTTTTTTGCCAGAATGTCCGTGAGGAGCCGATCCACATCCTCAACATTGCACTCCGCTGGGCTGACCACATGGAAGATGAGATGCTGGTGCCCATCTTCAGAGCCTTTGCCCAGTCCAAGGTCTGTCTCTGGGGCTGGACCCCCTTTTTGCAGATCCTGCAAGGCAGGCACCGTACCCCAAGGTGCTGCCTCATCTCCACGCGGTGTTCCCCAAAGTGCTGCACCCTGCAGCAGCTGCTTGGGTTTTGTTTGCTCCCTCGGTGGAGGTGTTTAACCTTTCGTGACTGGTGGAGTCTTCTGTTTCCGTGTAGAAAAATGTCCTTGTTGACTGTGGTCTGCGGAGAATCACGTTTCTCATTGTCCAGCAGGTGAGTGCAGACTGAGCCGCCAACAGGCAGAGTGGCTTTAGACACATCATGTTTCTGCCTCCCTAAAACACCTAGAAACATCTATAAGTGCCTTATAGACATAGCATTGAGTGATGGATGTACCTACTGTGCACCAGGAGCTGGGAATTAGTTAATGAGGGATTCAATGAGTGATTTATCTCCTGTCTTATCCTTCATCCTGCTAATGTCTCCAGTAACATGTGATTCCTGCGCGGCTGCTCTATAGCTTTAAGCTGCCTTTAAAAGTTACTGATTACTCTCGGCTCTTTTCCTTTTGGGGGGAGGAGGTAGCCTGCAAGGTTTTTTCTTCTTAATGAATTCACTGAAACTCAGAAAAATCCTCTGTGTGCAAGGATTACTCACATTGTCCTCTCTCTCCCC